ATATCAGGATGCACAGGACCTCTTCCCCTGTGGCCAACGCTCTTTGAGGGCGTGTGACCCAGAATAGCCTGCAGTTGCTGATATGAGGACCTGCTTAGGGGGAAGATCATATCACATGTATCCGCACTCCCTTTCCGTCCCAGTAGAGCAAGGAGCCGATTATAAGGATAAAAAAACAATGGATAACAATCCTGGACTAGGATACCAAAGTGGGCCTGGACCACTTAACCGCCTGGGGCCAAAAACAAAAAAAATCCGTTTGATAATATATATATATATATCGTCAAACAGAGTATATATTATATATATATTCAGTGTTACCAGCCCGTACGTACGGAGGTCCCCGGGCCGAGCTCCGTATGTTCGGGCGTTCGGGGTCCGAACCTGCCGAAAACTTATTTTGGGGCCTATATATCGTCACAAATAGAACTGCCCGGTAAACCGTAGGCAGAGAGAGAGATATATTTTTTTTAATGTTTCGCGAGTTCTTTATGATGTGAGGTATATGCCTATACGTTCTGAAGTTTTTTTGCTAAACCAAGAAAAAAAAAAAAAATCGCCAAAGATGTCGGTGTCAAAACGTGCTCGCCCACTCACTATTTTTTTTTCCCTCTTTTCACTTTTTGTTTTCACTTTATGTTGGGGCCTAGACAATTTTATTATTTTTTTAACTTTGTTTTACGAGTTTTGTATGATGTGAGATACACATCTTCAAATTTTCAGGGCATTTGACTAAGCCAAAAAAGAAAAGAAAAATCACCAAAGATGGCGGTGTTTAAAACATGCCCGCCCACGCACTGATTTCAATTCTCTTCATTTTTCTTATTTTTCAATTTTGTGTTTATTATTTGTTTTCCGTATTTTATTTTTATTTCAAATGTTGCAGCCCTGAGGCAAATTTTGTTTGGTTGATTTTTCTGCATAACATAAATTGTTTTCAGCTAGGCCGAGCGTCCCCCGGCTGTGCGGGCCCAGGGGGGTCCGCCTGGGAAATCCAGGCGGGCCCCAAAAACCAGCAGGGAATTTTTTTTTTTTTTTTTTTTGAAGCCGGGGTTTTGCTGCGCTACCCTAGAGGCCCCTGAATCTGCAATAAAAAAAGTGAA